TAATTTTATTCTATTCTAATTTTTATATTTCTTCCATGTCTTTTTCTCCATTCAAAATCATTTTATTTCTTTCTTTCTTTCTTTTTTCTTTCTTTCTTCTTGATAATTTTATTCTATTCTAATTTTTAGGTTCTTCCATGTCTTTTCTCCATTCAAAATCATTTGTCTTTCTTTTTTTTCTTTCTTTTTCTTTCTTTCTTTCTTTCTTTCATCTTGATAATTTTATTCTATTCTAATTTTTATGTTCTTCCATGTCTTTTCCATTCAAAATCATTTTCTTTCTTTCTTTCTTTCTTTCTTCTTCTTAATAATTTTATTCTATTCTAATTTTTAGGTTTTTTCCATGTCTTTTCTCCATTCAAAATCATTTGTCCTTCTTTTTTCTTTCTTTCTTTCTTTCTTTTCTTTCTTCTTGATAATTTTATTCTATTCTAATTTTTAGGTTCTTCCATGTCTTTTCTCCATTCAAAATCATTTGTCTTTTCTTTCTTTTCTTTCTTTTCTTTCTTTCTTTCTTTCTTTCTTTCATCTTGATAATTTTATTCTATTCTAATTTTTAGGTTTTTTTCAATGTCTTTTTCTCCATTCAAAATCATTTGTCTTTTCTTTCTTTTTTTATTCTTTCTTTCTTTCTTTCTTTCATTCTTTCTTTGTTTCATCTTGATAATTTTATTATATTCTAATTTTTAGGTTCTTCCATGTCTTTTCTCCATTCAAAATCATTTGTCTTTCTTTCTTTTCTTTCTTTCTTTCTTTCTTTTTCTTTCTTTCTTCTTGATAATTTTATTCTATTATAATTTTTTATGTTCTTCCATGTCTTTTCTCCATTCAAAATCATTTGTCCTTCCTTCTTTCTTTCTTTCTTTCTTTCTTTCTTTCTTTCTTTCTTCTTGATAATTTTATTCTATTCTAATTTTTAGGTTCTTCCATGTCTTTTCTCCATTCAAAATCATTTGTCTTTCTTTCTTTCTTTCTTTCTTTCTTTCTTTCTTTCTTTCTTTCTTCTTGATAATTTTATTCTATTATAATTTTTATGTTCTTCCATGTCTTTTCTCCATTCAAAATCATTTGTCCTTCTTTCTTTCTTTCTTTCTTTCTTTCTTTCTTTCTTTCTTCTTGATAATTTTATTATATTATAATTTTTAGGTTCTTCCATGTCTTTTCTCCATTCAAAATCATTTTTTTCTTTCTTTTCTTTCTTTCTTTCTTTCTTTCTTTCTTCTTGATAATTTTATTCTATTATAATTTTATGTTCTTCCATGTCTTTTCTCCATTCAAAATCATTTTCCTTCTTTCTTTCTTTCTTTCTTTCTTTCTTTCTTTTCTTCTTGATAATTTTTTTATTCTATTCTAATTTTTAGGTTCTTCCATGTCTTTTCTCCATTCAAAATCATTTTTTTTTTCTTTCTTTCTTTCTTTCTTTTCTTTCTTTCTTTCTTTTCTTCCTTTCACCTTGATAATTTTATTCTATTCTAATTTTTAGGTTCTTCCATGTCTTTTCTCCATTCAAAATCATTTTTCTTTTTTCTTTCTTTTCTTTCTTTCTTTCTTTCTTTCATCTTGATAATTTTATTATATTCTAATTTTTTAGGTTCTTCCATGTCTTTTCTCCATTCAAAATCATTTGTCTTTTCTTTCTTTCTTTCTTTTTTCTTTCTTTCTTCTTGATAATTTTATTCTATTATAATTTTTATATTTCTTCCATGTCTTTTCTCCATTTCAAAATCATTTATCCTTCTTTCTTTCTTTCTTTCTTTCTTTCTTTTCTTTCTTTCTTTCTTTCTTCTTGATAATATTTTTTATTCTATTCTAATTTTTTTCTTTTTCTTCCATGTCTTTTCTCCATTCAAAATCATTTTGTCTTTCTTTCTTTCTTTTTCTTTCTTTCTTTCTTTCTTTCTTTCTTTTTTCTTTCTTTCTTTCATCTTGATAATTTTATTCTATTCTAATTTTTAGGTTCTTCCATGTCTTTTCTCCATTCAAAATCATTTGTCTTTCTTTCTTTCTTTCTTTCTTTCTTTCTTTTTTCTTTCTTTCATCTTGATAATTTTATTCTATTCTAATTTTTTATGTTCTTCATGTCTTTTCTCCATTCAAAATCATTTTCTTTCTTTTTTCTTTCTTTCTTTCTTTCTTTCTTTCTTTCTTTCTTTTTCATCTTGATAATTTTATTCTATTATAATTTTATGTTCTTCCATGTCTTTTCTCCATTCAAAATCATTTTTTTTCTTTTCTTTCTTTCTTTCTTTTCTTTCTTTCTTTTCTTTCTTTCTTCTTGATAATTTTTATTCTATTCTAATTTTATGTTCTTCCATGTCTTTTCTCCATTCAAAATCATTTTTTTTTTCTTTCTTTCTTTTTTTTCTTTCTTCTTTTTTTCTTTCATCTTGATAATTTTATTCTATTATAATTTTTTTATGTTCTTCCATGTCTTTTCTCCATTCAAAATCATTTGTCCTTCTTTCTTTCTTTTCTTTCTTTCTTTTCTTTCTTTCTTCTTGATAATTTTATTCTATTCTAATTTTTAGGTTTCTTCCATGTCTTTTCTCCATTCAAAATCATTTTCTTTCTTTCTTTCTTTCTTTCTTTTCTTTCTTTCTTTCTTCTTGATAATTTTATTCTATTATAATTTTTAGGTTCTTCCATGTCTTTTTCCATTCAAAATCATTTGTCTTTTCTTTTCTTTTTTCTTTCTTTCTTTCTTTCTTTCTTTCTTCTTGATAATTTTATTCTATTATAATTTTATGTTCTTCCATGTCTTTTCTCCATTCAAAATCATTTATCCTTCTTTCTTTCTTTCTTTCTTTCTTTCTTTTCTTTCTTTCTTTCTTCTTGATAATTTTATTCTATTCTCTTTTTTTAGGTTCTTCCATGTCTTTTCTCCATTCAAAATTTTTTGTCTTTTTTTTTTCTTTCTTTTTTATTTCTTTCTTTCTTTCTTTCTTTCTTTCTTTCATCTTGATAATTTTATTCTATTCTAATTTTTAGGTTCTTCCATGTCTTTTCTCCATTCAAAATCATTTGTCTTTTTCTTTCTTTCTTTTCTTTTTTTTTCTTTCTTTCTTTCATCTTGATAATTTTATTCTATTCTAATTTTTATGTTCTTCCATGTCTTTTCTCCATTCAAAATCATTTGTCTTTCTTTCTTTCTTTCTTTCTTTCTTTCTTTCTTTCTTTCTTTCATCTTGATAATTTTATTCTATTATATTTTTTATGTTCTTCCATGTCTTTTCTCCATTCAAAAATTTTTTTCTTTCTTTCTTTCTTTCTTTCTTTCTTTCTTTCTTTCTTTCTTTTTTTCATCTTGATAATTTTATTTCTATTCTAATTTTTATGTTCTTCCATGTTCATGTCTTTTCTCCATTCAAAATCATTTTTTTTTCTTTCTTTCTTTTTTCTTTCTTTCTTTCTTTCTTTCTTTCATCTTGATAATTTTATTCTATTATAATTTTATGTTCTTCCATGTCTTTTCTCCATTCAAAATCATTTGTCCTTTCTTTCTTTCTTTCTTTCTTTTTTTTTCTTTCTTTCTTTCTTCTTGATAATTTTATTCTATTCTAATTTTTTAGGTTCTTCCATGTCTTTTCTCCATTCAAAATCATTTGTCTTTCTTTCTTTCTTTCTTTCTTTCTTTCTTTAATTTTTTCTTTCATCTTGATAATTTTATTCTATTCTAATTTTATGTTCTTCCATGTCTTTTTTCTCCATTTCAAAATCATTTGTCTTTCTTTCTTTCTTTCTTTCTTTCTTTCTTTTTTTTTTCTTTTTTTTCTTTCTTCTTGATAATTTTATTCTATTCTAATTTTTAGGTTCTTCCATGTCTTTTCTCCATTCAAAATCATTTGTCTTTCTTTCTTTCTTTCTTTCTTTTTTTCTTTTTTTTTTTTTTTCTTCTTGATAATTTTATTCTATTCTAATTTTTATGTTCTTCCATGTCTTTTCTCCATTCAAAATCATTTGTCTTTCTTTCTTTCTTTCTTTCTTTCTTTCTTTCTTTCTTTCTTCTTTATAATTTTATTCTATTCTAATTTTTATGTTCTTCCATGTCTTTTTCTCCATTCAAAATCATTTGTCTTTCTTTCTTTCTTTTCTTTCTTTCTTTCTTTTTTTCATCTTGATAATTTTATTCTATTCTAATTTTTAGGTTCTTCCATGTCTTTTCTCCATTCAAAATCATTTGTCTTTCTTTCTTTCTTTCTTTCTTTCTTTCTTTCTTTCTTTTATTCATGTTTTCCTCTTCCTCATATCATAATAATAATAATTATTATAATTATTGTTGTTGTTTTATTTTCTGTTATTTTTAAATAATTGTGGTGTGTATTTTTCATCCTCTTTACCCATTTTTTCTCGTTTTACTTACTTGAGCACCTGTCAAATTGTAAAGAACACCAGCAAGAAGGATTTTAGAAAGAGAAGGGTGTCTGCTAAACTGAAACCCCAGAACCGGTTCCTCACCCAATTCCCCTTCCATAAACAACACTTTCTCTTTTCTATAAGAACAACTTAAGCCAACCCCCACCCAGCAGCACATGCATCAACCAGATCTTTCCTTACCTTATGATTCCAATCCTTACACAAAACCATGTAACCCCAGCACAACACATAGCCAACCCATGTACCCAGAATGCCTTGCAATTCAAACACTTTAAGCTTCTTGATTCCATTCTTTTGTTTTTATTCTTTTTGGAGTTTTCCATTGTTTTCCTCAGGTTTGATATTTCTCATTCATTCTTTTGTCCTTTCTTTCCTTCTTTCTTTCTTTAATTTCCATAATATTTCCTTAGTCTTCCAGTCTTTCTTTCTTTTTACTTTCTTTCTTCATAATATTTCCTTAGTCCTCTTGTCTTTCTTTATTTATTTCTTAATTTTTTGCCCTTTTGACTTATTTCATTCTACTTTATAATATTTCCCTCTCCCCACCTGTCTTTGTTTTCTTTCTTTCTTTCTTTCTTTCTTTCTTTCTTTCTTATATTCAAAATATACTTTCTCTCTCTCCACTAATCATTCATTGAATTGCTTTCTTTTTTATACATTCTTCATTACTTTTTGTCTCGATTATCGTGAGTTTGAACATTGTTCCTTCATTCTTTCCATTTTCTTTTATTTCTCCTTCTCTTTTTTCTTTTTGTAGAATGATTTCTTTATTTACTCTTTTTTTTCTTTTCTTTTTATTTCTTTTCCTCAGTATTTTACTTTTTGGATATGTATTGTATGCTTCCATCATTATTTTCTATCTCTTTATAACCTTTCCTTTACCTGCCTCTTTATCGCTTCTTTCTTTCTTTCTTTCTTTCTTTCTTTCTTTCTTTACATTCCCTTTTATATTCTTTTTTTTTGTCTATATTAATCTGAGTTAAATTTCATTTTCCTTCTTTCTCTGTTTCTTTCTTATCCATCATAAGCCTTTCTTTCTATTTACTTTTCTCTTTTCTTTATTTCTCTTTCTTTGATTTTCTGTTTTGTATTTCTTGTTCTTTTTCTATTCCTTTATTTCCTTCCTTTGTCTTTCTTTTTATCTCTTCTTTTTTCTGAATTTCTTTCTTTCATTCTTTCTATTTTACATTCTCTTATTTTTTTTGTCTCTGAGTTAAAATTTGTATTTCTTTCTTTCTTTCTTTCTTTCTCTTTGTAAGCCTTTCTTTCTACTTTCCTTTCTTTTTTCTCTTTTCTCTTTCCATTATTTCTCATTCTTTTACTTTCTTTTTTTGTATACTTCTTTGTTTATTTTCTGTCCCTTTATTTTCTTCCTTTACCTTTCTTTCTATCTTCTTCCTTCTTTTCTTTCTTTCATTCTGTTTTGCATTCATTTTACTTTCATTATTTCTTTCTTTGCTTTTTAATATGGAAAGCTGAGTTACTTCTTTATTTCATGACTGGTAAAGAATCCGTTTCCACAGACTAATCCTATTCCTCCAAACCTAGCAGCAAGAAAATGCAGGATTAGTAAACAGTAAATTCATGGAAGTTTGTCCCCATCCTAAAGTATTTCATCCCTTATAATTCATTACCATACCAGAAAAGAAAAGAAAAGAAAAGAACATTAAATAAGTAAAAATTAAAGAAAAAATACATATTTATTTGTAGGGTTTGGGAATATGACCTTGATGCTTGCTGAAAAATATTCCAATAACTTAAACCTGTAAAAGATCCCAACATTTAATGTATCTCTTCTTGTTGTACAAGCCTCTCAAGATTTTTATAGATATTTCAAATTTTAGGCAGGTATTTCAGAATTTAGGTATGTATTTCAAATTTTAGCTAAGTATTTCAAATTTTAGTTAGGTATTTCAGAATTTAGATAACAATTTCAAATTTTTTCTTGTTAGGTCTTTTCTTGTTAGTCTTCTCATATTT